ACTATTTGTTCTGTAAGCCTTCACCTGAAGTACAATAAAAAAAAAAAAAAATCTTGACAGAGGTAGCAGTAGAGCACAAATGATAGCATGAAATTTGTCCTTTTTCAGCAATAGAAACATAGATTCATTTAGAATTACACCATTTTACATATAAGAAGCAAGCAGTACATCAAAAGGGAACTGCCAGAAGTTTAAGCCTGATTCTGAAGAGGATGTGGAACGAGGGATGTTTGATGTCAGATGGATCATGGCTGAAAGCAGAGAATACCAGAAATACGGTTACATGTGTTTTATTGACTATCCAAAGGCATTCGACTGTGTGGATCATAACAAATTATGGATATGGATAACATTGCAAAGAACGGGAATTCCAGAATGCTTAATTGTGCTCATGAGGAACCTATACACAAATGAAGAGGCAGTCATTTGAACAGAACAAGGGGATACGGCATGGTTTAAAGTCGGGAAAGATGTGCTTCAGGGTTGTATCCTTTCACCATATTTATTCAATCTGTATGCTGAGCAAATAATCTGAGAAGCTGGACTATATGAAAAACAACAAGGCATCTGGATTGGAGGAAGACTCATTAACAACCTGCAGTATGCAGATGACACTGCCTTGCTTGCTGAAAGTGAAGAGGACTTGAAGCACTTACTGATGAAAATCTAAGACTACAGCCTTCAGTATGGATTGCACCTCAACATAAAGAAAACAAAAATCCTCACAACTGGACCAATAAGCAACATCATGATAAACGGAGAAAATACTGAGGTTGTCAAGGATTCATTTTACTTGGATCCACAATCAACACCACGGAAGCAGCAGTCAAGAAATCAGACAAGGTATTGCATCGTGCAAATCTGCTGCAAAAAGCCTCTTCAAAGTGTTCGAAAGCAAAGATGTCACTTTGAGGACTAAGATGTTCCTAACCTAGGCCGTGATATTTTCAGTCACCTCATATGCATGCAAAAGCTGGACAACGAATAGAGAAGACCGAAGAATTGTCACCTTTGAATTATGGTGTTGGCGAAGAATATTGAATATATCATGGACTATCAGAAGAATGAACAAATCTGTCTTGGAAGAAGTACAGCCAGAGTGCACCTTAGAGGCAAGGATGGCGAGACTTCATCTCATGTACTTTGGACATGTTATCAGGAGGTACCAGTCCCTGGTGAAGGACATCATGCTTGGTAGAGTGTCAGCAAAGAAGAGGAAGACCCTCAGTGAGATGGATTGACACAGTGGCTCCAGCAGTGGACTCAAGCATAATAATGATTGTGAGAGTGGTGCAGGACTGGGCAGTGTTTCCTTCTGTTGCACTTGGGGTCACTATGACTCAAAGGCACCTAACAACAACAACAACATATAAGAAAGGAATCCCTGGGTGGTGCAAATGGTTATCATGCCTGGCTGCTAAACAGAGGGTTGGAGGTTTGAGTTCATCCAAAGGTACCTCAGAAGAAAGTTCTGGCAATCTACTTCTGAAAAATCAGCCATCATAAACCCTATGGAGCACAGTTCTGCTCTGACACGTGGAGTCACTATGAGTCAGAATTGACTCAAATGCAGCTGGTACTGATACACATGAGAGAACTAGGCTATAGAGGATAAATGATTTCTCAAGACTTAAATCATTGCCCAAAGCACTTGGGTTTAAGTGAATTTGAAATAATTGAGGCTATTTCTGTAAAGCAAAAAGAGAAACATAAATTCCATTTCAAGAAATGTTTAATGAGACACTATTATGTGAAAAGCATTGTGGACGCAGAGAAGAATAAGAATTGATTTCTACCTGTTAGGAGCTTATATACTAATTTAGGAAAAGAAGTTCAAATTCCTTAGGTAGCCTTTGAGCCTGTCCCCTTCCCTAGGGACTGTCTAATGAAGTGCCGTGTGAGTGCTACAAGCTAGGTGATAGAGGGTAGAGGAGAGGATGTTCCCTGTTGGTTGGATAGAGAAGCTCTGCTAGGAGGAAGAGCTTAGAGCTAGGTGTTAAGGGTGGTGGTGAGACATTCTAGCCAGAGGATCTTACATAAACAAATGCCATGAGGTAAAAATAGAGAGTGTTTGGGGAGGAAGATGAACATATGGTTTATTTTCTAAAGAAGTGGGAGATGAGGCTAGAGAAATATATATATATATATATATATATATATATATATGTATATCATATACTATGTACTGAGTACCGATTGTAGGTCAGGCAGTATAATAATAAACACTTTTACAAATGAGAAAATGGAAACTTTACAGCTGTTAAGTATTGTTTCAAGAATGTGCACAGCTAGTCAGGAACCCAGAAATAAACCCAGGTCTTCTTGCTGCCCTACACTGCACCAAAATCAGATTGTGCAGAGTTATAGTGGGAGGATTGGATTCCCCTGTACGGTTGTCCAGATAAGGGAAACCTAGAGTGAATTTTTTATTGACAGGAATCTACAAATACCAAATCTCATGAATCATTTAATAGTCATTGGTTCCTTCCTGAAATAAATTTGGGGAGGTGTCTAGATTAGAGTCCTTGGGCAGGTCTTGGTCCCAGCTGGCACAAATGATTTTGTACTTGGCTGGTAACCAAAGGTTTGGCAGGTCAAACCCACCCAGCAGCACCACTGAAGGAAAGTCTTGGCAATCTGCTTCTGTAAAGGTTGTTATTGTTGTTATTAGTTGCCATCAAGTTGATTCCAACTTGTGGCAACCCCTATGTTACAGAGTAAAACTGTTCCATAGGGTTTTCTTGATTGGTTAAGCGCTTGACCGCCAAAAGGTCAGTGGTTTTCAAACCCACCGGCTACTCTGTGGGAGAGAAGACCTGGCCATCTGCTCCTGTAAAGATTATGCCTAAGAAACCCTGTGGGGCAGTTCTACTCTGTCTTATAGGGTCACTGTGAGTTGGAATTGACTAGACAGTACACAGTAACAACAACCAGTCTTTATGGAGACAGATCTCCAGGCCATTTCTTCTGGGTTCGAACCACCAAACTTTAGGTTAGCAGTTGAGCACAAACCAAGGAAACCTTACGGAGCCGTTCAACTCTGTAACACATGGGGTCACCATGAGCTGGAATCTACTTGATAGCACAAGACAACAACAACAGGGCAGATCTCAATTCATTAGAAATGGAAGTGTCTTAGATACATATCACTGCCCTGATGATTGTTTGAAAAAAAATCTCTGTCTAGGTATTAAAATACATATATACTGGTTAAATGATGAAATCAGTGAAATCTAAGAGTAGTATTGGAGTCCTAAGAACCTCTAAAAGGAGGTTGCTTCAGATTTAGTCCTCTGAATCTGTCATTGCAGTGTCTGTGATCTCAGTGAGTGGATAACCTAAAGAAGCAACATGTAGCTCTGTCAGGGAAGATATGTCCCAGTCACAGAAACCTTGTTGCCAACAACAGGCAAAATGCATCTGTGATTGCTTCATCCAAGTAAGAGTGGATACTCCATTGCAGATGTCTATTACCTTGCTAATACCCGCGCACCTCATTGTGAAGTGGTCTACAGCCTTAGTTCATTTTCTGGCTCCACAACCTCGTGACTTTTGGCAAGTTACTAAACCTATGACTGCCTCAGTTTCCTCTTCCGTAAAATGGCTGGCCATGATAGTCATAGTACCTAATATATGGGTTGTTGTGAAGATGTAAAATACAAAGAATAGGAATGACTCATGTATGTTGGCAATTTTATACTTAAAAGGTATCTCTCTATATGGCAAGATAATAATAAACATAAATAATAAAAGGCAAAGCACACAGTATGACATGCCCTTAATCTGCTATATACTTTGATATTCTAAGAAGGGTAAGGTCCTGAGATAAAAAGTATGGAGAATTCAAAGCAACAGAAAGCATGGCATCCTGGAAAAAGTATAATAATAAAAATGGCATAAAATTACTGTGTAACATTCTTATAAGTTTAGACATGTCAAGCTATATAGTATTTAGATATTTTTTAACTTGTTTTCAGTGACTCTTGGCTTTACTTTTTAGATGGATGATGACAGAATGGACCCCGTGTTCACGAACGTGTGGAAAAGGGATGCAGAGCAGACAAGTGGCCTGCACCCAACAGCTGAGCAATGGAACTCTGATTAGGGCACGGGAACGGGACTGCACAGGGCCGAAGCCCGCCTCTGCCCAGCGCTGCGAGGGCCAGGACTGCATGACCGTGTGGGAAGCGGGAGTGTGGTCCGAGGTGCAGTACATGCCTACTTCTTTTCATTTTCCTTCGCTTTTTTTTTTTATTGCAGTAAAATATATATAAGAAAACATTTGCCACTTAAACTATTTTTTAACTATGCAATTCAGTAACATTAATTACGTTTACCATGTTTTACAACCATCAGCACTGTCTATTTCCGAATGTTTTTCATCACCCTAAACAGAAACTCAGTACCCCTAAAGCAATAACTCCCTATTCCTCCCTTCTCCACAACCCAGGTAACCACTAATAAACTTTTGTTTATATGCATTTGCCTATTCTAGATATTTTCTATAAGTGGTATTATACAATATATTTGTTCTTTTGTGACTGACTTACTCCACATAATGTTCTCAAGGATCATCCATGTAGTAGCATGTATCAAACCTTTACATATATTTTTATTGAGGAACAATATTACATTGTATGGATATAGCACCATTTGTTTATCCATTCACCTGTTGGCAGACATCTTGGCTGCATCCAAGTTTTAGCCATTATGAATAAGGCTGTTACAAACATTTGTGTGCAGGTTTTTGTATGAACATAAATTTTCAGTTCATTTGGGTAAATACCAAGAAGCATGATTGCTGGATTGTGTGGTAAAACTGTTTAGTTTTGTAAGAAACTGACAAACTGTCCTCCAAGCTAGATATACCATTTTGCATTCCCAACAGCAACGAATAAGAATTTCCTGTTGCTCCACATACTTGCCAGTATCTTGTTTTGTCAGTGTTTTGGAATTTAGCTGGTCTAATAGATGTATGGAAACCCTGGTGGTGTAGTGGTTAAGAGCTAAGGCCGCTAACCAAAAGGTTGGCAGTTGGAATCCACCAGGCGCTCCTTAGAACCTCTATGGAGCAGTTCTACTCTGTCCTGTAGGGTTGGTATGAGTCGGAATCAACTCGATGGCAATGGGTTTTTTTAATGTATGGAGTCTCTGGGTTGTGCAGATGGTTAACACACTCGACTGCTAATCAAGAGGTTGAAAGTTCCAGTGCACCCAGAGGTACATTGGAAGAAGGGCCTGGTGATCAACTTCTGAAAAAATCAACCATTGAAAGTCCATGGAGCACAGTTTTACTCTGACTCACAAGGATTGCCATGAGTTGAAATTGACTCAATGGCAACTGATTTTTTTTTGGTTTTATAATTATGTAAAGAAATTCTTAATTTTGTTGTTGCTGAAATTTATTTTTTTTTTAGCTTTAAGAAATGTTGAGAAATGACATTCTGACCATATCAATCAAATTTTTATATTTTATGTTTCAATCATGGGTTATTATTTGTCTTTCTAAATAATCTCTGTGTTATATTACACTCTGTAATAATGATCTGATGTTCCTGAAGCCCATTTATCTCCAGCACTGCATCTTAAGCTCCATCTGGCCTGCAATACTGGTGCTTAGCCTGATGTTTCTCTTATACTTACGTATCGCTCTTTTCCTGCCTTGTATGTGAGAAATGATTAGAAAGCAATACTTAACATAATGTAATCTATAGTCCATATCTCCTAGTCAAGGTCTTTATCCAAACTCTCTGGTGTTGTCTTCCAGTGTTCAGTCAAGTGTGGCAAAGGCGTTCGTCATCGGACTGTGAGGTGTACTAACCCTAGAAAGAAATGCGTCCTCTCCACCAGACCCAGGGAGGCTGAGGACTGCGAGGATTACTCGAAATGTTATGTATGGAGAATGGGTGACTGGTCTAAGGTAGGAATCATTCTATACATTCTCAGTATTAGGTTTCAATAATGTCAGCATTGCCCTGGATACTATAGCCATACAGCGTCAAGTTTAGGAGGAACAGAGGATAGAGGTAAAGATTATGAGATGTAGAGTATTAAGCATGCTAACAGCTCTGCTATTACTGTGTCTCATCATGATCTGTATATATGTTAAAGATAAAGTATATAAAGCACTTAGCACCAGACTTGGCACAAAGATACTCAAAAAAATAGTAGCCGTTACTATTGTTTTGTTGTTATTTTTGTTGATATAGTTCTTTCCCAGAATATTTTTGCATAAAGCTTACCTAATAGTTATCAGATAAGTAAATTCAAAATACAATTAAGGAATAAAAAATAATGAAGAGTTAGCAGCAGAACAAAGGGAATTTGTATCTTAATAGGAAGAGGCTGTCTTTTTCCCATAAATTTTCTTGAGTGTGTATAGTAGAAATAGAAAGGAACAGAATTCTTAAAGACCTTCAGTCAGATGGAGTGTTCACAATTCATATGGTAGATTTAATTTAATAGTAATAGTAATAAACCTGTTACTCATTACTGCCAAGTAGATTCTGACTCATAGCAACCCTATACAGAGTAGAACTGCCCCATATGGCTTCCAAGGCTGTAAATCTTTACGGAAGCAGACTGCCACATCTTCTCTCACAGAGCGGCTGGTGGGTTTGAACTGCCCAACTTTTAGTTAGCAGCGAGTGCTTAATCTCTGTGCCACCAGGGCTCCTCATAATAGTAATAATTCCTTAAAATTTGCGTAAGTAGATATTCTTATATAAAGGGCTCTAGAATATACCTCATGTATACACGGTGAAGATTCGTAAATCTGTTACGATTAATAAACCCCATGTTATAAGATAAAATTCTGATCAGAACCTGGGTGAAAGCAGCTTTCAAACACTTATCTTCAGAAATGTATTGGTCAAACGATCCCTTGTGTCTTCACTCATTTAATCTGGATGTTATATGCTTATTATCACGGAATCATAAAATTCTGGAGCTTGAAAGAGATACAATAAACCCTCTCTTCCCCTTTTTTTTCATAAATGAAAACAATAACATAGTGGGATGGTGGGGAGGGGGGTTATTAATAAATAATCCTAAAGCAAGACATCCTGGAAAAAATCTTTTCAGTGTATAAAGCACTGTGGTTACCCAGTTTGCCCAAAATTGCCAAAAATTCCTTGTCACTTAAAAGCTAAACTAGTCTCTTGAAGTCATTCATGCCTTTTCTCCCTAACAAAAGTTTTGAACATTAGCATGTGATCTGAATTCTCTGTAAACTGTAGTCACTCTTTCTACTCTGCACAACATTCAAGGTTCACATTTGAACTCTTTAATGGATGTGTTTGTAAATGAGTAAGCCAATATCTGACAACAGAATTAGGAAATATCCAGCCCATTCCATGCAGCTTTTTACTGGTGAATCATATAAAGGAACTTCAAACTTTAAAGTAGACAATTTTTCAATGCAGAGGGTTCCAGAATAACTACAACTGATTTCTGTTATGTTCAGAGTGTGTATTTCCTTAATAAAGGGAGAGAAATAAAGTGGGATGATAGAGAAAGAGAGATTGGCTTTGAAGTCAAGATACATGGGGGACAGTTTGGATGCCCTCATTGCATGGATGAGTAAAGTGGTTAACCACAGAATTCCTTGGTTTCTTTGTTTCCACATGAGTAGAAGGAAAATAGACACCAGTGTTCTCAAGCTATATTTATATTAACTTTCCATTCAGCACTGACGGTAAAGGATAAAATGAGGAAGAAGAGAAAGAACTAGTTGGAGAAGGTGAGGCAGATTCCCTATTGTTCCCCTTGAATTGTAGCAACTTCTCATTTGTTTATTTTGGCTAGTAAATTAAATTCTGGACAAGTTTTCTTTAAAAGAAACAATTCTGTTTTAAGGAAAAGTTTCAAAACCACTAGCATAATTGAGCTATAATTTTTTTACAACTTTGCCTACCAATAATAATATTTTAAGTGATAAATATTTTTAACCTCCAGTTAACTACCAAACCAAAAATACCCAAACGAGTTGGCATCGAGTCAATTCCGACTCTTAGCGACCCTATAGGACAGAGTAGCACAGCCCCATAGTGTTTCCAAGGTTGTAATCTTTATGAAAGCAGACTGCCATATCTTTCTCCCACAGAGAAGTGAACTTTCAGTTAGCAGCTGAGTGCTTAACCTGCGCCACCAGGCTCCTTCTAGTTAACTACAAAAAACAAAAAAAAAAATGCAAAAAAAAAAACCCCAGAAGATACAGATTATACTTGTACTTTATGACACAGAACTATAAGCTCCTGCACTGCTGCATATGGAATTATGACTAGCAAATCCTATTTGTATGACAAATACTATTTATCAGCATTTTGTGATTTTCAGCATACAGAATCTGTACATGCTTTGCTATATTTACACCTAACTGTTCCATTTTATTGTGTGATTATAAATGGTATTGTATTTTTTATTTTATTTTCCAATTACTCATTGCTTGTTTAGAGAAATAGGATTGGTTTTTGTATATTGACCTCCTATGTTGAGACCTTGCTGAACTCACTTATTAGTTCTAGGAGTTTTTTGGTGGGTTCCTTGGAATTTTCTAAATAGACAATCATGTAATCTTCAAACATGAATAGTTTTATTTCTTCCTTTCTGATTTGTATACCTTTTATTTCACTTTCTTGCCTTACTGCACTGGCTAGAACCTCCAGTACTACGTTGAGTATCAGTGATGAGAGCAGATATTGTGGCTTGTTTCTCGTCTTAGAGAGAAAGCATTCAGTCTTTTGCCATTAAGTACAGTGATAGCTGTAGATAATACTGTTACTCTTGATTAATGCCAATTATGTGGCCTCTGGTTAAATCTTAAGCAAAGCTAAAATTAAGTGGGGAGATCAGAAAGCATTGATTTTGGCTTTTTATGATAAACTTGAAAAAATATATTTTCAGTTTTAACACAATTATACATATGTAAGTTTTAAATATACTTTGATTGAATTTCTTTAAATTTGTTTTGTTGTGTTACTATTTTGCTGCCTAGCTAGAACATAGTCTTTGTGATTGAAGAAAGAAATGGATAGCTCCAAAGAATATACATCTTTATACCCATGCTATTTTGCCTTTGTTTGTTGGTCTGTTTGTTTCCTTATTTTCTTATTTGGAAGATCCAGTATGTTGTGGTATTTTCCTCTTTGGGAACTTTATATAAATATCAGTCTGCTCATTCCCTAATGCCTTTTTTTCCTTCTTCACTTATGGGTCTCAACATCACAGATTCAAACAGCAGTGTGTACAAATTAAAGCCAGCAGCTTCATGTGAATTTGATTTCACCCCTTCTTTTATATACTCCTAAGATATCACTTTCATGTTAAAATGAAGACCATCCCAAAATAATCACAGAAAAAAGGAATAATGCTGAGATTATTAAGTTTCCATGATTAAAGTATTTATGGACAAAGGAAACACACATAGATCTCTTATTCTTATCAGCTGTGTCCCTGGAACAGAAATAGCAACAAGATGTGTGCGATTCTAGGAGGATTTCCATGCTCTTCTGAAGTCAATTAATATGTCAGTTTTACTCAAATTCTACTAATATTTTTAAACTATTAATAAATCTAAGTGGATGTAAAATTAAGCCTAGGATTGGCTTTTATCAGGAATATTCCATATACAAACTATAAAGTCTAGCTTTGAATCCTTGATAATATAGCTTCTCCCTTGATAATACAGATGGTTCACTAAGAGAATCAGTTAAAAGAAAAATATATTCCTCAGGTTCTCCCATGTTTAGGAGTCAACTACCACTCCTGGGTAAAGATAATATTGGCTAAATGAAGGCTTACTAAGATTATGGTTTATGTCTCAAACTATGTTCATTGCATTTGTATCAGCCTATATGATCTCTGGCATTTATGTCTGGGGTGGTTTTGTGTCAACAGTGGAAAAATTGCTCTTGATTTGAGAGGAGAAAAAATAGGCCCTCAGGAAAGAAAATCTCCTATGTGATAAAATTGTTAAACTCTCGTTTCTAAGTAGATTAATGCAGGCTTTGTTGAATACTCTTGTTTATTTCATTGAAAATAGAAAGTTGGCAAAAATAGGACACAATGTGGCTGCTCAGCTCTGGCTTGGGTTAACCATTAACACAATTATATGCCATACTCTGGCTATATCTTTGATATAGATATGTCCTTTGGGTTTTTCCTGGGAGGGAGAACATGCCCACATGTTTTCTGGGAATGTAAATCTGCATTCACTCATTTAAGCTGTTCTAAGTATGAAACACTGACTTGAAAAATAACAAAGTCCCTTACGTTTAATGAAATGTTGACATATTTTCTGCTTGTGTTTGAACTTTCTGCTTTCATTTGAACTTCTACTTCTGGTTTTCATTATTAGAGGCTAGTGGAGGAGCAAGTTAAAGAGCATTTTTTAAAATCTACCTGTTATATAGAATGTGGTCCTTTGTGAAACTTTTATAGAATTCACTCTTCTGTGCAATATTCACAAATAGTTTATACTTATTCAACTGAAATTTAATGAGAAACAAGACACCTTGTTTGGAATTGCACATATTCTTGGTTTATTCTTAGATTCAATTTATACACTGTAATTCAAATTTATGTAGTCTTTTAAAATTCCGGGAAATGAATAGTTTTGGCCACATATCAAATTATAACATTTTAAATAGATTTTGGACAAGAGATTATGAGTCTTTTTGAGATAATATAATTCAAAATAATGTTGGTATCACAATACATTATTTTGGGTTGATTTGATTATATAGATAATAAGGTATATCTTTACTTACTGGAGATAAATATAAAGTTTTCAGTATAATGAGAGTCATTTTTAACTTGTCCAGCAAAGGAAACCATAGTTATATTCAGAATATTCAATTACATAGGAAAATAATAGATGAGTAATCTAAAAATCAAAATAATTTCTCAAGGAAATATATT